TAACTGAAAATGAGAGAGTCTGACATACCATATAAATTAGCAGTGGAAGATCTGTACTATCCTATACAAAATATCTGAAATTGAAGCTTTTTAGGAATTTCTGGCCAGGTTCAAATCAAACTTTCTCCTAAGTGTCACAACACCTAAAATTTAGACACCCTACTCCAGAAGAGTGATCCAAAATGACAGAGCTGTGTGTCTAGTATCCCTGTGCTATGAAGGGGGAGAACTAATCATATCCCAAGGGCATCTGCAGCTGAGCAAAAAGGTGCTCAGAGCTAAACAACGGGAAAAGCCAAGCCTAAGGTGCTGTCTCATCTCCTGCTCATGCTCAGAGCTTAAATGCCTGACTCAGGACTGCAAGTTAGGTGCCTTCATCTTCCAGGCTCCAGAGTGGCCAGATGATATTTAACTGACAGCAGCAATCAATTCAGCTTAAAGCACACCGTGATCATTTATTTAACAGAGCTGATAGTGGTGGTGACCAAAAGCTTAGATCTTTCACAACTTGCCAAGGAAATGGGAGACCTGGGTTTTGGATCCTTCTCAGGCTGAGGAGACCTAAATTTATTGTTTTACTTTTCTAGAAACATGAGCTATTCACCAGACTACAGACTAGTTTGGGTAAGGGGAGCTGGAATGCTGCCAAGAGGACATTCATGGCACAAAAGGAAAGCAAGAGGATACAATGATGGGTGAGCACTCCCAAGGCAAAGATAAATCATAGCTTCTAGTCCTGGCTTGTCCAACATATGGCCCGCAGGCCGCCATGCAGCCCGCCAAGCCGTTTTCTGAGGCCCGAGGTGCTGCGTTAGTTTCGTTCCCACCCCTTGTCCCTGCCCCAGCCCCTCACGGGTGACTGGCGAACACGGACTACGAGGCAGTTGGTTGCCCAGTGACTGCTGACCCTGTCCCTGGAGGGAGCAGGGCCCCTCTCTCAGCTCCCCCGACCACAGACATGGAGGCCGGGGCAGGAGCGCTCGCACCAGGCGGGTCTCAGGGCCCAGGCCGAGGCACCCCCCTGCCATGCCCATCACACAGCTCCTTTAAGCCCTACACTGGGGGCGGTCCACACGGCATCAGCGGGGAAGGGGCAGCTTGGGGCGGCACAGTCCAGTGTGGGGATGAGCGTGTGAGCGTGAAACATGGCTGCCCGGCTGCCAGCGGGGCCGTGTCTCCGGGCGGGATGCTGAGGAGCCCACGTGGGGGTGCCTTCCTCCTCTTCCTCCTCCATGGGAGCTGGGGGCGAGGAGGGAGGTGGGCTGCACGCGCATGGCCATGTGTGAAGACCAGGCTCCTCATCCCCAATGGAGCCGGACAGCGTCCTGAGGTGCTGCTTCTCTTCCTCCTCACTGCTGTTCCTGGAGGCCAACAGCCAGCTGCTCCTCCATGGCTTCCTCTGCCTGGTGTTGTACTCCCAGGTGTCCCAGGGCAAGCCTGCATTATGCTTCTTTCATTCATTGAGAAGTAGCTAGAAGTGAAAGTGTTTATTTTAGTCAAATATTTGGTATTATTCCATTGTTGCTTTTATATTGTTTTTATTTTGGATTTTAAACCACATTTCCAGACCCATTTCATTGTCACTTCCTGCAACTTCACTGGTGTCAAAGGTCACGTGACATCACTTCCTGATGTGATACCGCTTTCTGTGAGGTCTTTGAATATGGCTCGCTGGCCCACTGGGGGCTAAACAGTTCATAATCCGGCCCCACATTCAAAAAGGTTGGACACCCCGTTCTAGTCCCTCTTGCCAAAGTTCACAGAATCATAGAAGTCGGGTCTGAAGGGACCTTGTAGATCTTCAAGTCTGACCCCCTGCCTTGGCAGGAGAAAAACTGGGCTCAAATGACTCCAGCCAGGTAGGCATCAAGCCTCTTCTTAAAGACCCCCAGGGTAGGAGCCAGCACCACTTCCCTTGGTGTTATTATTCCTGTTTTTTTCTGTTTTCTTTCTAATGCAAGAGTGTCAAACTAATCACGTCTCTCAAAGGGGCATGGGGTTGGTCTGTAGGCTGGATTGGACCCACAGACCAGCCCCATGCACTGGAGCCAGTGCACAGAGACAATCCAGCATGGGCAGCTTGTGCAGCATGTATGCCAAGACAGTGCTCAGTGCAGTGTGTACCAGCACGAGCTCAGGGGTTGTGTGTGGAGTCAGCATGAGGCATGGGCAAGGGAGATACCATGAGGTGGTTTTCGGCCCAGGTAGTTTTGTTTGCCTGGCAGGGGAGATACCCTTCTTTTTGGCTTGAATGCCTTGGTGTAGTTAGTGGTGTAGCAAGCTGACCCCCTCTGAGTGTCTACAAATGCCCCCAAATGCGAGGATCTTGGCTACACAATTTATAGCGATGAGGGATTTCTGTCAGGTTTGCCTTCTAGCTTGCTCCTTTTGGCTAGGGCAGGGGTGTTCAACCTTTTTTAATAAGTGTACCCCCAGCAGCTGGACGTGGAGCTGGAGGTGGTGGAGGGGTGTGGCACACGGCCAGACTCAGAGCAGCGGCAGCACTGGGTGGTGTGTGGTGAGTGGTGATGGTGGCCATCGCATGCAAACTTCCCCCCCCACCGCCATGGCCAGTCAGCCAGGCAGTGCCAGTGCAGCCTGCAGAGGGGCGTCGCTGCCCTTCCCCCCTCCCCCCTGGCCCTGCTCCCAGGAGGTGGTGGCGCAGGGTGGTGCGTGTACCCCCTAGGGCCTTTCCATGTATCCCTGGAGGTATGAATACCCCCAGTTGACAACCCCTGGGCTAGGGGCAAGTGAGACTAGAGGGCATCTGAACTCCAAGGCCTCTGGGTTTGGGGCTTGCATGTAGGATGCCTACCATGGATTTAGGAGTATCTGAAGTCCCAGACTGAAGAGTCTGGGAGGTAGGATAGTTGATGGTGGTAGCACCACACAGACTTGAATGACTGAGCTCTGCTTTGCTGATAAAATTGGGAACTGATTTGACAGATTTGGCCTGAGACGCAACATTTCCACAAAAATAAGAGAGGCATGTGCTTCATCAGGTGCCTGTGCGCTGCTTGTGATGTGTGGGACTGTTCTATGGGTCCGATCCATTCCAGCTGCAGCGCCAAAACACAGGGTCTGTCTGGTGTGGGCACTGCATGCCGTGCATGCCCTGGGTTGGCCCTCTAGGCTGCGTGCAGCATATGTGCTGGGTCTAGCCCCATGCGCTGGCCCCAGTCCAGGGATCCAGTTTGCAAGGACAGTCTGTGGGCTCTGCTGCAGGCAAACTGAGTTGTGTTAAGGCTCTTAGCCACAGTCCAGGCCTTCTGAGAACTAAACAGTAAAACTGAACAGAGCGCCTTCTGTGGCACTGGGAGACATGAATGCTGTGATTGGCGCACGAGGCGAGCAAGGGACAACAGTTTCCTTTTAAGGAATGTGCCTGGAACAGTGTCAGGGGATTGGACAATTTGGAATGATAAAGTTACAAAAGTAATGAACAAACAAAGGAATAGGTGTGTTAACATGCAGTGATTCTGGGAGGACAGACACAGCTGCTGCATCCCTGCTCAAACAGTGGGGAAGCCATAAACAAACATCACACACACCCAGTGGAGGACCCCTGAAGGATGCCACTGAAAGTCTAAGCAGCCACTTGCCAGGTTGCATTATGGGGAGAAAAACCTGTAATATTGCATAGCAGTTACTATTAAAGTTCACTTGATACCACATCAGACAAGTTGCTGTGTCAGTCCTTGGGGGGCTCTGGCAAAAAGAAATCCTATTGGTAACAGGCCCGTTCTGGCATGCAGGACTGGTCTGGCATGACATCAGAACAGCTTTGCATGCTGCATGCCATGTGCAGGACTGGGGCTGGCACATGTCACATGTGGAATGCTGGGTCAGTCCGAGACCCATGGTCCAGAATCTAGGACTCCATGGCCCACATCTTTGACACCCTGGTCTAAGGTAGAATTCTGGCCCCATGAATCTGGCATTGTTGGCTATACAGTGGCTTGGTTTCAACAAAAAACACTGGAAGGGACTTGGACACACACTAAGCCCTGGCCCAATTGTTAGGCTGACTATTTTTGGAAACAGGAAATGTGGGTTTGAATCCTTCAAGGGAAAGGGCTTAGATCCCAGGTCTCCCATTTTGTGATCAAGCCGTCTAATCTCTAGGCCAGGGTTATCAACAGACCGCTGTCACCCACCACCCCGCACTGCCGCCTCCCAGAAGCAGGGCGGGGGGGAACGAGGGCAGTGGCATCCCTCTGCAGCCCACATAGGTGCCGCCTGGATGTGGGAGGGGCGGGGAGGGAAGCTTGCACGCAGTTACCAGATGTTGTGTGTGTGCTTCAGAAATCACAAACCTAGAAGGACTAGTAAGTTCTCCACACTGACATGCATCACAACAGAGCTTAGGCACAGGGCAGCAGTCTGGATGGACACTTCTGAGCAAGCACCATAGCCAGACTGAGCCATCTAGATATGCTCGTTGGCCAATAGGGAGGTGTTTAACCATTTTTGGTGTATATACGTTTTGTGCTCTATACGGTGCATCTGGCACAGCTGCAGTTATTTCTCCAACGACCCTAACGGTGCTAGGACCTGGTGGACTGGGGCTGGTCTGGACGGGGGAGGCTCTTCGCGACTCCGACACTTCAGTGTCCCCCGCTCGGGGTCCGGCTCAGGCACCGGCCGAGTAACGTCACGCTTGGACTTGCACATCTGCACGCAGCTGCCTGGGGCCTGGGCTAAGGTGCAGGGCCCAAGCTAAAAGAAAGAGGGGCCGGGCCGCGCCAAGCCAAGCCGGCGAGATGAACCCATCCCTCAGAGGCAGGTGGTACACGTAGCCCCACCGCGATTGGGCCCCGTATCCCACCTCATTGGCTGAACGCTGTGGGCGCAGAGGGCGGCCAGGCTGCGGGGGAAGAGCCTAACCCAGCTCAGGCCCCGCCCCGTCCCCGGGACCCGCCCCCCGCAGCAGCTGCTCTGGACTGCGTCTCCCAGCGGCCTGCGCGCGTCACGTGACGGCGCATGCGCCGTGGGGGGAAGGGGGGCGGTGTCGCTATCAGCCCGGTGCGCGCGGCGGAGCCGGGGACCATGGAGCCAGAGCCGCAGCCCCGGGCCGGCGCGCCCCCTGCGGCGCTGTCCGAGCCCCGCGAGCAGGCGCGGAAGCTGGAGCAGGAGAAGCTGTCGGGGGTGGTGAAGAGCGTGCACCGGCGGCTGC